CTTTTATTTTTCTATACCACTGTTTTTTAATAGTTCAGGATGTCTAGTTGTCCTCTGTGCACATGACAATTCTCTGAGCCTAGTGTGGTCTCTACATCCCCCTCTCTGGGACACTAATAAGGGCCTTTTCCTGGCCTCTGTATGGAGGAAACATTCATCCTTTGAGCCAAATTCTGCTCTCATTGATTCAGTACCTCTGATTAAAGTCTGTCCTGTAGCTGGAGATGTTTGGGACTTCATCCTTGTTAACAGAGAGCAGAACTGGGTCCTTGGTCAAGTTTACAGGAGCATATTTTAGCAGCTTAGGGCAGCGTGGAATACTGTTCAGTGGCAAATGGTTTGGTTTGGAACGAAGGTTAATTATCACCCCTCACAGCTGGTTGATTTGTGGAAGGATATAGCAGAACGCACAGGAAAACGGAGTCTTCCTGCCTCGATTTTCCACATGTAGCAGGAGAGAGACACTCGTAAAATATCTCTTTTTCGGTGTGTAGGTGCTTTGCATGGTTCTGATGTCGAAATGCAAGCCCTCTTTTTGTGTTTTAGACACTGAAATAAAAGAGCTGTTATACCAGACTTGGTTGTAATTTGTTTCTTAAAGTAACTTATTTTGTGGACAATGGGGCAGATCATGGTCAGAGTAACTTCTGCTGTAATTTGCCCTTTACAAGAGCCCCTCTTCACCCAGGCCAAATTCACCCTTCTGCATTTGATTTCTTTTTGCTTAAGGTAAATACATTATTTACAATTAACCAGATTACCTGGTCAACACTTGCTCTCTGCAGTGCTTGCCTCAATAGAGATTGTCTTAAATTTGCACATCTAAAACCTGTGCATCTAAATGCAGATCCTTTTTTTTTTTTTTTGCAAAAAGGAGCTATTTTTGCATTTTTAGATCTTCCCCTTCCTGCACATCTATTCTGTTAATTCTGAAGCACTTGTAGAAAGTAATTGGGCTGCCAACAACTTGCTGGAAACACTGGAATACCTCTTCCCATAAGCCTGGTGCTCCAGGAGCCATTTGCAAAGCCTCAGTTCTTGCCATGGGCTGTATTCAGATGCTCTTGGGCTCCTGATGTAACCCTGGGTAAACAGAGAGCAACCAAGCACAGCTTTGTGCCCAAGTGCCTTGTCACTCAGTGCTGCTGGAAATGGGATTAGTGGGAGCAAATGCTGCTGTTGACTCTCCTCTCTCTGAAATCAAACAGCTCTTTCTCAAAAAGCCAATAAAACCATTACTGCACCATTACTTTCTGGCCCTGGACCAGCTGTGATCTCACTCAGCTTTGTGCTTAGCAGGGTCTCCTTAGATCTAAGGCTGAAAGTGTCTAAGGTCTGATTCTTGAGCTGCTCTGGGTGCCTGGGGAGCAGGTAGCACCTGTGGGTGCTTTTGCAAGAGATTCCCCTGCTGGAATGGGAGTTTGAGTGGGCCTTGGGCTGTGGGCTATGGGTACAGTGTGCCACTGTTCCACACAGATGGAATTAAAGTGTCTGTGTGGAATTAAATTGCTGGAATGCCAGAGAAAATTTAGTGTCTGAGCCAGTTCTGGAGGCTTTGTGCAGATTTCCCTTGTGCTAACTGCCCCAGCCCACACTTGCAGAGTCAGTAGGTAGGTTTTTGAGTTAAGAAGCTCTTAAGGATGGTCTGATCCTTTCCCTTTGGAGGCTCCCTGACCTGTTATGACCATCCACATCTTCATCTGCCAGCGCGTGTGGGGCACACTTGGTGTGGTGCAGGGAGTCCATCCCCTCCTGGGGTGGCTTTAGCATGCCCTGTCCCTGACACAGCCCTGCTTATGCTGATGCTTAGCTGCCTAGCCACGAGCATGTTTGATGAAAATTAAATGTACAGGCAGCAGAGGTATTTCTAGTCCCTGTTTTTTGCTTTTCTGGAAATTATTACACATGTTTTCTTGGAGAGCTAACAGTTTGTAGATGAGCATGCCATGGTAGATCTCCAGATAAGGGCACATACTGCAGACACCCGTGGCTTCCTTGGGTAGGAGCAGCTCAGCTGTGCCCTCAGCTGCTCCCAAGAGCTCCTGGGCTCGAGTTTGCTGAATTTGATTTTACCACCTTGGCTGTTTCACTGTGGCATTTGCTTTGGACTTTCTGTTTTTTTCAAGATGCTCTTCAAAAAAGCCTTCAGAAGGCTCTTTAGAAATGAGGCTGCCAGTTCTGTCCCACCCTGCCCCCTTGCCCCTTGGGAAGAAAAGCAGGGACATATTTTTAGAGGATGGCATTGGGAAAAAATGGTATCAAAAGCAGGTGGAAGGAGGTGTCCTTTTAAAGCCCAAGGCAGGCTGGTCGTGGCTATTTAGGGTGCATTCCTGCAGTGGGTCCTGTTACCTGATGTGATCCAGCCCCTGCATGTTGCCTTTCAGGTTGTGCACAGAAGGTAATGCACAGCTGATTTACCATTAGCATTGAATTATGGATTAACTTGGCCCTGGAGGAAACAAACGTTTCAAGAAACAGCAACAGCAGCACTAAAATTAATGAGCAAGGGAGGTAATGAAACACTACTTCCATTCAAAAAAAAAAAAGCAATATAAATATAGTAAGAGAGTGCACCAGATTCAGTTTAATTAAACTGTGGTTTATAGGTTAAATAATTAAGATGAATTAATTAAACTAACTAGAAAGAAATTACGTGTTTAGTTAAACCAAATCACCTTGTTCCATGTTACAAAGCAAGTATTACTGTCTGTCAAGTTCTTATTATTTACAGTGTAGGATGGGATTTATGATCTGACATAATTATTGTTCAGAGAAATGTGACATAAAAAGAGGTGAAAATAATTAAGCAGGCAGCATAGAGGATGTGTGCTCTGGGTATTAAACCAAATGATTAGAGCTAAAGTAATAAAATAAGCACAGCATAACTGTAATGAATATTAGTACACTGTAACAAGTATTAATATCTTTTAAACATAATGCCAGATCCATTTTTTAACCATGTGGATTTAACAAAAAGTTGTGTAATGACTCTGGCTTTGGTCTAGTTGCATCAGGAAAGAAGGAGGAAAAGGAGAAATTTCCTCATTTTCAAAGAAATGTTTCAAAGTTATCAAGCCTTATGAATCCTCCAAAATGTTTTTGTAGTCTTATTTCACTCAGTACATCAGCGAAAAGGTGACACGTTTCAGATTGAAGATGAACCTAAAAACGTATAAACTGCCAGGTTTTTGTACTGAAAACTTCTAAAGTTTACTCATTTCCCCTTCCAGTAACTTTAATGGGAGTTATATCATCCCTGTAACTCTGTAACCCTGATAACCAGGTTTTTATTGTTTTCAGATCACTAGACTTTCCTGTTTGCATTTTTACAGCTACTGACACAAACATCTTTTAAACTTCCTTAGTTGCACTTTCAGCCTTGTGAAAATCTTGTCAAATCATCGAGGTAAATGTAGTGAGCAAAAGAGTAAAGGATCAGTGACTTGGGTTTGACCATAAGAAATTACTTGTTACTTTTTTTAGTGAAAACAGAGGACTTTGTACAAGAATATCTTGGTGTAAATATTCTTAGTCATGCTAAACTCAAAATTCATTCATGGCACAGTTAAAAATGCGTGCATGTAACTTTGATCATAAAAAAAAAATCAGAGAAGATGAAGTTCCTGCTAACTAGAATGGTCCTTTTACTGTGCACAAACTACAGGTTCCCTCCTGGTGGTCTTCCAGTGCAGGATTAATTAAAGAAAACGCTACATCAAGTATCTTTTCTACTTATAAATGTCTTGCAGGTTTATGTAATCTCTTACTGAAGCTATTACTGGAATGCCTTATAGATCAAAATCACTAATTAAACATTAAATCCCTTAAAACATTTTCAAAGCTTTAATTTCAGTAACTTGCAAGTTATTTGCCTGCCACAGTACACTGTCTTCTTGTAATCAGTATTTAATAACCCATACAGTTTTAATCCCAAAGTAATATATTTAGCAATGACAAATTAAATTGAAAAACCTCACTGTAAATCTAGATGGTACACTGGGATGCTTTTCTTACTATCTTAATTTCTTGCTGAAAAAAAGGACAGTCCTGCCTTCCTCTAACCCTTAAATGAGTGTTATTTTTTGAAAGGTAGATTGTCATTCTCTCTTTTACTTTTATATATAGCTTAGTGAGGGCTGGACCAGATCAGTGAAGAGTCAAATCCAACAGGTCGTAACTAATGTACCAAAATCCTGTATGATTGAAGAGTGAGCAGATATTCAGTTTCTCTTTACTGAGATGGCCACGTGGCTTTAGGATATGATCCGTGGTATGAGCGTCTTGGGAAAACTCAGCCACTGTGCTGCAGACCACCACTTTTTTGACAGGTTACTTGCAGGTTTCTTTGCAGGTCAGCTGGGAGCAGAAGGCTCCTGTGGTTGTGGGTTATCATTTATGAAAAGGTTCTTTCATCTTTCTCTGAGAGCTCAAGCAACACGTGCTGACTGGCCAGGGCTTTGAGGTCTGCACTGTGTGTTTTTGCTCAGGCTCCACATTTTCCCTGGTGATGTGCTGATGTGACCAGCCCTGCCTATCTATACCCTTTTCAAGTGTGCCCTCATGCCAGCCTCCTCCCTGGGCTCTCCTGGGCAGGAAGATCCCCAGCAGCCCAAGGCCACTATCACTCTGTCACCTGATCTTTGGAAGCTCCTCAAGGAGCTGCTCTGCTGTAATTTGTACTCCATGAGGCTCTGTCTGTGGGGAAGCCCCTGCAGCAGGATTTTCATCCCTGATAACTGGGACCCCACAAAGAGTCTCCTCCATCCCCCACCCCCTCACAGCACCCCTTTCCTCCAGGATGGAAAAACTGCTGAAAACCGTTAAAAAATTGACTTTTAATCAATAGGTTTGTTGTATGGGAGGTCATTATCCATTCTTGTTATCCAGGAGACCAGGGGGCTGCACCCTCCCCAGCCTGGCTCCTTCACCCTCTCAGCAGGGACATCAGCCCATGGGACAGTTTGGGTTTAGATATTAGTATCTCTGATGCCCACAGGTGCCCAACAGGCTTCATCTGCAGTTCCTGGGATGCTCTGCCTGACCAACACCATTGCCTCAGCAATAAGGCTGTCCAAGAGCTTTTTACTGCTTTTAAATCAAGTCAGCAGGAAACTTTCAGCAGATTGAACACCCTCAGTTGTAGAATCATTAGAAAAATCTTCTCTGCTCACAGGACTGTGCAGCTGGATGTGTCAGCAAGGTTTTGCCACATGTGTTAGTCACAATCCCATTGAAATATTACTCACAGGTTTGGTATTTTTTAATCTATCCAGCCTGGCCAATTTCTTTCCTTTACCACCTGGTTACTTAGTTGGGATTTTTCCCTGGAGCAAATCGAATATCTGAGCCTTAAAAGTCATGGATGTTCTAGAGATGATGAACAGAAAGTCGGTAACATCTCCCATATGCCAGGTCATCAGGGAATATTGCATCCAAGTTCCTTTTCTTTGTCTCAAAATGACATTTCTTTACCTAAAGTGCTGAAAATTCTGAACACCAGTCAGAGAATATTGTTCATTGGCATTGTGGGAGGCAGCAATTGGCCACTCAGCCAGGACATGACACCAACAAGACACCCCCAACCCAACCACCCTTGCCCTTTGGGGGAATTCCACTGGCTGGATGTTAATTTGGAACACTCCACAGCTGGAACAGACAGGTCCAGGAGATTCCCAACACATCTGGATAACAACTTCCTGGCACAGGGCCACAGGAAGCTGACCCAAAGAGGTGCCCCTGTGAGTTCATGCTTGTTCCCAGAGAGGCTCTCATGGGTGAGGTAGCGACTGGGGACTTCCTTGGCCAGAGCAACCATGAAACCATTGAGTTTCAAATCTCTGATACTGCTGAAACCCGTCTGGCTCCTGAGATGGACCAGGCCCAGGCAAGCATGGTTGGAAAATCAGCATCTTTTACTGATGTATCACCTCCCCGGGGAAAGCCACTGGTTGTTTTGAGTCTCTGCGTGGTAACGAAGGACAATGACAACTTTCCAGAGGTCTTTGCAAAAATAAAAATATTTATAAACAACAAATGAACTGACTTGAATTCGAGACTGGCAGTGGGCACTAATCCTGTGGCTGTTCTGCCGTACAGGAGCACCAGAACAGGCTGCAGAGAGTCTGCAGAGCCCTCCTGGAGTGGGAGGGCTGCAGCATGTGGGAACCCTGCTGCTCGCTGAGGGTCTGGGCCGACAGCAGGGCGGACGAGGAACTGGAGAGGCAGTAGGAGCTGTGCCGGGCAGAGACCTGGCTCTGTGACCCTGCTGCTGGCACCTGCCCACCCAAGTCAGAAGGAGCTGCTGCCTCTGCCTGCTCCTGGGAAGCCGTGTGGGTTTTCTGCAAGAGCTCTGCGTACTGGGGGTTGACCCAGATTGTGTGGATGGTGATGCGTTCCCAGCTCTCGTGTGGTGACCTTTGGTCACTGCTGTCCTCGCCTGGGAAGAGCTCTGTTTGTCCACTGAGCTCCCCCTCAGAAAGCTCTTGTGCAGTGTTGTCTTCCCCGTGCTGCAGCTCTCGGGGACTGCAGAGCTTCCTCTCTCCCTCCTCCTTGGCCAAGGCCCTCTCCTCGGTCTCCGGCGCTGCCGGCGCTGTCCCTGCCCGCTGCCCGCCGAGGACATGGGCTGCCAGCGGGGTGGGCAAAGGGCAGGGGCTGTGTGGGGCAGGGCCCCGGCTCTGTGGCCCTGCTGCTGGCGCCTGCTCGCCCAAGGCAGGAGCAGGTCCTGCCTTTGCCGCCTCCTGTGCCTCGGGAAGACGAGCTGGGCAGTGCTGCTCTTCCTGTGGCTGCCTGAGGTCCACCTGTGGGAAAGAGGAGGAGGCAAGGGATGAAGGCAGCTGCCTTGGCACAGCTCGAGCCTGTCCCACTACCCTCCTGCCCCGTCCCTCACATTTTGCCTCCTCTGCAGTCTTGGCGGCCCCTCAGTGGGCTGGGATTTGGGGTTTGTCTCCTCCTCCTTGGGCATCTCCGTTGTGCTCTGCCAGAGACACTCCCGGGAGCAGCTGCCTCCTGAAAGAGGGGCTCTCCTGGGAGTGGGTGCCCCAGAGGTCTGAGCCTCTGAAACCCCCCTGGGGACACAATGACCTCTGGGCATGGCACAGCCCCCATGCTACAAAGCGCCCTGGAATCTGCCTCTGTCACAAAGGGACACCCTGGCACCCCCAGCAGTCATGGAAACATCTGGAACCATCTGGAACCAGCTAGGTCTGGCACGGGGCAGCCCCTGCTCTCCCATCCTGAGGGGAGAGAGCCCTGGTGCCCAGGGCCCCACAGAGACCCTCACTCTGGATTTCTGACTCCCTCTGGCTCAGGACTGACTTGGCCTTGGGCCTTTATTTTATTCCCAGCCTTGACAGCAGCATCTCACATGGGGGCTCATATGCCATTTCTGTACGTGTCCCGTGTCTAAACACAGCTCTTACTCTCAGCTTCATAAAAAGTGGTGCAGTCATTAAGTGCTTAAAGTGAGCACTTGTAGCTTATTTCAATCATCCAGGTTGGGAACATTTCGGTTATAAATGAACAAACAAGCTTTGTTTGGTCAATGAATTCTTAGAAAACCTGAACATTTTTGGATTAAATAATACTGAAAGTTCCAAACTGAATATTCACTAAATGAGATGGAAAAGCCTGACATCTTTCTAGTCTTCATTTGACTAAGTTGAGAAAAATATATGATACAACCTATCTGAAAGAGAGAGTCCACATAATGTTGTTACTCTGTGGTAGGTGGCTGCCTTTCCCAAGAAAATTCTGTGGAGAAATTAATGCCCTAAAGTCTGTATTTACTGCTTGAGGAGTAAGTTAGGTATTTTAGGGGTGTCATTTTTTACAAGATCAATACTGCTATTTAGCCAGATGGCTGAGCAAGCATGGACAAATACTGTCTGCTATAATACATTTATTTGTCTATTGATCCATCTCTACACCCATTTTGCTGATCAAATAGATGGCTTGAGCAGGACCAGGAGCAACTTATTCCTAGTTTTACCCCATCAGTAACAGGATTTGTCTCACGCAACTTCCCACTCAGAAGCTACATGAGCTTGAGCAAACGTGGAGCCCTGTGGAAAGAGCCAAGTGGATTCACCCCATGTATTTTAGGCAGGACCCATCACCTCCTGGGAATGCCTAACCCAGATAAAGGCAACTCACATCCCCTCCTGCCTCCAAGTCTCTCAACATCAGAGAACTGTAATAACACTTCAGCAAAGTGTTGCATTACTTAAAGCAGAAAATTCAATTTTAGGAGAGATGGGTTGAAGTGAAAAGGATGAATACAAGATTTTCCTGAGTTCAAAATATTCAGTGGAGGATGCAGAGAGATTTTTTTCAGATCTGCTCAAGTATAGAGGACTTCATATTGGTCCAAGCTGTTGCTTACTTGCTAGGGAAGTGCAATCTAGTAAAAGGCTTCCACTGATCAGAGGGTGACAATCCACAGTCCCTCACCTCCACTCCAAGCAGGAACAACTCCAGTGAGGCAGGTGAAGCTCATGAACCAGAAATCAGTATCAGGTGCAGATGGATCCAAAGACAGAGAAGGAACATATTTTGAAATTTTGAATGAAATGCAGTTTTAAAAAATATAGGTGATATATAGGAAAATCCCTGATGTGACACGTTTATTGGACTTGTTCTACGGTGCGGCTGCTCAGGGGGAGGATATGGAGATTCATGTGCTGAAAAATTCCATGAAAGCTGTGTGGGAGTGGGAGATGCTTTCTGGGAACAAGCCAGGGCATGGGAGAAATGCGACAGCTGATTTTTGCAGAGTGAGACAAAGGGCAACACCCCCAAATTTATGTCGTTACCTCTCCATCAGATGGATGGTGAAACGTGGCTGTGCTGGGGATGGGGCTGCTTGCCAGGCAGCCAGACACCCCCCACATGCAGTGCTTGCCATCATGTCAGCTCTGTCATTGCCTTCATCACCCACAAAGGTCTGATTTAATGCACTCAGGTGCCAGCAGCCAGGTTGCTAAAGAGTATTTCTGGATCGTGGCCAAGCCTGACCAGCCATGGGGTTGTTTTTTTTGCAATACAATTCCAAGGGACAAATGAGATGAGGGCTCTCAGTTTACACCTGGCAATACTAGTTGTCACCCCTGCTGATAAACAGATGGTTTGAAACCATCCTGTTTTTCTGGAGATAGACAAGGACTCTCAGACAAACATATGCAATGCTTGGGGAGGTCAGCCCACGCAGTGAAAGCAAAATACACAACAAACCTTTGGTGTCTTGAAGATGATCATCTGGGACATGTCTGATACAGCTCCATCCCTCTTTGCCCTGAGGATTGTCTGGTCCAATTGGCACAGCTTGGGCAGTGCAACAATGTGAAGAAGCCTCCCCGAGTCTCACATGGTGCTTCTGCAGGCTGACATGGGGCAGGAGATGGGCTGTATCTACAGCTATGATTATTAATGTTTTCATCTAGGATTTACTAGACTGACTTAGGAAAAGCTGGGCTACATATTGAGGGTAGGAGGGGGAAAAATGCTCCCTTTCGCTGTTCTCTTCCCTTCTGGGCTAAATTATGGGCTGAGTTCCTTTTCCCTCCAGTCATGAAGGGCAGTTGGCACCAGGCTTGGGTGAGTTGTGATTTGGTATTATCTCAAAAGAAAGTGTCATTGGGTCTAACAGAGATGCTCATTTGGCAAAGCATGTCAGCATGAGCAGACTTACCAGCCTCAGTTGGTTTTAGGCTGCATATGAAGTCAGACAGACAAAGCATTGCTTCAAAGTGCAGAAGAGGAATTTGACTAAAATCTCTCTACTAAATAATCTCGTGACAGGCAAGTTGTGCAAATCAGGCAAATGTAGACAAACAGGGTGGGAACCATCTGTCCAAGCTTGAGATGGATGATGGCTTGATGATGGACTGAGGCCGTTCAGACAGCTTTGTGCCACTCTGGGTTCATGTTACAGTCCATCAGTGGAGAGCCATGGACCAGTTACTCCCCCGTGATCCATTTCCCAACTTGTGGTCCAGCTCCTCCTCTGCAGTTCACCCCAGCGTGGAAGAAGCACAGAAGGCCAGTGTGGATGAGAAGGGGACAGCAGCCTGAGCTCAAAGGCAACAGGCAAATGCACAGGAGGTGGACGTGGAGAACTAGAGGGAATGTAAGGGCATTGCTCCAGGGAATAAAGGTGTTGGATGGATATCCAGTGAGCAGACGACTTGGTCCCTGCTGGTAGGACCCGTGTTGGCTCTGCCCTCCCACACTATCACATGATGCATCCCAAGTCTCTTCTGTGGCTCCATGTGCCTTTTCACATGTTAGAATTTATTTGTCATCTTTGGCTCATTAAGATTTTTAAGGTGGCGACTATGTGAGGTCAAATTACAACTCTGGCTTTCCTCTACACAAAATTTCCCTAATTTGTTTGGTCATAAGGAAGATATAAATGACTGTGAATTTGACCATTTAAAAACTTACCTTCCAAGTGTCTTTGTGTGTATCACCACACAAGGTATGATTTTCTTATTACTGCAAAAGTAAATCGAATCAAAACGATATTTTGTCACACACAGGTGTACGACGAGTGGTGTTTCACTGTGGTCTCCCTCAGGACTTGGACTCGCCTCATTCTAAACCTGTGAATAATCCCTGTGAATTTCAACACTGCAAATATTTCTGTTTGAGGGTAAATGTCCCTGTGTGCTTCAGTGGAGTGTGAGGGCAGACAGCCGACAATCCTCTGTGGTGCCCACTGAAGTGGTGTAACCAAGCAGAAACCCCACTGAGCTGAAAAATGCCCCTTGCTCAGGAAAAGCAGCCTCTGCCTGTGTGCTTCTGATGCCCTGTGGTGGGACATCTCCCAGAGGGGTGAGAGAGATGAGGATGGGAGAGTGTCTGGTGGGTTTCTTCTGGTACCCACCACGGGGCTGATCCAGAGCTCACTCAAGGTAACAGTGCCATTTGTTTTTGTGGGATTTTAAATCTTTTTTTCCTGTTAAATGCACTCAGCTTTTAGAAAAGGACAGTTGGCATATGAATGAATTTATCTAAAGAATTTAAGTTCTGGACTTTCCCACTTCATCTGCCTTGGAGGCAGAGTAGGAGCAGCCAGAAAAGTCAAGCCTGAAAGACCATCCTGGTAAGTACACCAGGCTGGATGCTGATGGATGGTGTGTGAGGAATGATGTGGGCAGCTTACAGAAGAACTATATGGGTGTCAGTGTGGTCTGAGCCATGATCTGAACTGTGTACCTCTGGTGTGCATGAAAATTCATCAGCACTGGGCTGGGGATGGCTGCAAGTTATCCTGGTGAACACACAGGAACTTTCCTGCTCTGTGTGGAGACAGCAATTGGAATGAATGCTCCTCATCCTTGGGCTCTCTAAAAGAAACTCAGTAGAAAGCAGCTGGTTGCTGCTGCGAGGTGCCACAGGCAGCAGTGCTGGGCAGGGATGCAGTTGTGATGCTGTGGAAATGATGGAAAGTAGAAGCTGTGCAAGGCTGATGTCTGTAGTACCATATCAGCACAGTGAGAACACTCGCACCAACATGTCCACTGCTTTTTGCAAGGTCCTGTTGTTCTGACAATAAAACACTTTTGCCTTCTTTTTCGTTGTACTTTTTAATTTGTTTTAGTCTTCCTTTTCTTTTTTTTTTTCCCCTTCAGGGAATGCTTTAATAGTAATTTCACAGGAATTCAGTTTTGGTTTTGTTTGTAATAAGTGTTGTCATTGGAGTGAAAAAGGAATCCACAGGAGCAATTACTGGTCATAAGAGAGTGAGTGAATGAATTAATTATCTTCAGCTTTGTTATTATTTTCATGTGCATAATGATGGCACAGGCTGGTGCACTGACTACAGTGTGTTTAGGGGAGGAAGAAAAACCCTCTCTGAAAGCCTGTGGGAGATAATTAGTTTGAACCTCCCTCCGAAAATGGTGTTGTTTTTTTTTTTTTTGTGATGATCTCAGTGCTAAGTCCTGAGGATGAACAGGTTCCTACGGATGACACCACAGGAGACAGAAATCATATTACCCTGGGAACAGGGGAAGAATGTTCTTCCCTGACCTTCACATGGGCTGAAGGAACTGTGCTCACTCCTTCACCTTCCAATCATTTGCCTCTCTGCCACA